GAGAGGAGAGAGAGAGGGAGGGAGGGAGGGAGGGAGGGAGAGAGAGAGAGAGATGATTCTCATATATTTGTAAATTTTGCTTGACGAGTATGTGTCCTGCATTCTTACGTATTTATAAATTGTTGCTTCACATGTATGTACCTTGTGAATGGTGTACGTAGGAATATAAGGGACTAACATTTTGTTCTTAAGAAGAATTGATACCCGTTAGAGAGAGAGAGAGAGAGATGGTCACTGTTGCCCCTGCTTTAGTTACTTTGATCAGGAAATAGTGCTTCTCCATTCCCTACAGTGGTAGTGGAACTTAATTACATGCTAATAGTGAGTCAGTTCAAGTTTCAGATTCTAAGGATGCAAGCACTGAGAAGCCTAACAATGAAGAGCTCCAAGAACAAGAGTTTACTGATACCAATAATAGCTCAGCAAAGGAGCAGGTATGTTTCTTAGCTGTTTCATTCTGGGTCCTGTTCCTTTATGTTCACAAAGCACATTGTACTTCAGTACACCAATTTTTTTTTTTTATTCATTTACTGTTTTTCGTTGATTTCCTACTTGTTTGATTTCTAGGAGGAGGCCGAGGAGGAGGAAGTGGAAGAGGTTAAAAGAGTCAGTAGTGTTATCAGTCCACCTATGAGCAATGCTCCTTTTATGGATGATGAAGATGACATCTTACCAGTATTCGAAGATCTTCTTTCAGGTGAAATAGAGTTTCCTCTTCCGAATGATATACATGACTTGAAAGGAGACTCCCAAGCTTTAAAAGATGGTTCAGCTTATGAGACAGAAATGGCCAACAATGCAACTGAGTTGGAAAGGCTTCGAAACCTGGTTAAAGAGTTAGAAGAAAGGGAAGTCAAGCTTGAAGGGGAGCTTCTCGAATACTATGGTCTCAAAGAGCAGGAAGCAAACATCGCCGAATTGCAAAGGCAGCTTAAAATTAAAGCAGTTGAGATTGACATGTTGAATATAACTATAAATTCTTTACAAGCTGAGAGGAAGAAGTTACAAGAGGAAGTCACAATTGGGGTTGCAGCAAGGAAAGAATTGGAAGTGGCAAGGACAAAGATAAAGGAACTTCAAAGACAAATTCAGATGGACGCGAACCAGACAAAGGGCCAGCTTCTCATGCTTAAGCAACACGTCACCAGCCTTCAGGCCAAGGAAGCAGAGGCCTCTAATAGAGACCTTGAGGTGGAGAAGAAGCTCAAGACCATAAAGGAGTTGGAGGTTGAAGCTGTAGAGTTGAAGAGAAGGAACAAGGAATTGCAGCATGAGAAGAGGGAGTTAACTGTGAAATTGGATGCTGCAGAAGCTCGAGTTGCTGCCCTCTCCAACATGACAGAGGTGAGACTTATCTAATTTTAACAATTTGATGTAGATAGGTAAATAGGAATTTCATTACAAATCATGAGATTGACCCATAAATACGCATTTGTTTATCAGGCTAGTTTTGGGAGTAAAACTCTTAAGATGATTTTTATTTATTTTTCTTTCCTGAGGTGAAATTGTAAGGCATCACTAGACGTATGACTAATCTAGACCTCTCTATGTGAAACTAAGAAGCTATCTTCTATTTTGAATGGAATTGATAATGACAGAGATATGCATCTCAAAAGAGATGCTGAGATACCCTGCACACATACAATGTGTGCGTCATGTCAGATTCGGATTGGCAAAAACAGCTGAGAAAAAATAAATAGAAGATTAATGGGATAGTAATGGAACAGCCCTTAAATTGAATAATGCTCCATCATTCATGGTGATCGATAATGCAACAGCTGATACATGTATAAAACATTATGAACTGTAAGAAGGTTACTTGTCAATTTATAATGCACTTAAAACCAATATGAAGTGTAAAAATGTCAACTATTCAATTTGACTTCTTCATTTTCCAATTCCATGTTGTTTAGTCTTTGTTTCGCCCTGAGTTTGTTGCATTTAAAGATAATATTTGAATTTCATGTTGTATGCACTTCCTTTCTGTATTTCCACAGAGTGATATGGTTGCTCAAGTAAGACAAGAGGTGAATAGCCTTAAGCATATAAATGAAGACCTCTTGAAGCAAGTGGAAGGGCTACAGATGAATCGGTTCAGCGAAGTTGAGGAACTGGTGTATCTTCGATGGGTGAATGCGTGCTTGAGGTATGAGATACGAAATTACAAGATACCTGAAGGCAAAATAACAGCTCGTGATTTAAACAAGAGTTTGAGCCCTAGATCTCGGGAGCGGGCTAAACAACTTATGTTGGAATATGCCAGCCCTGATTTGGCCTCAATAAGAGGCCAAGGCGACACCACCGATTTCGATAGTGCCTCATCCCATCCATCCACTCCTGGAAGTGAGGACTTCGATAATACTTCAATTGACAGCTTCTCTAGTAGATATAGCATGACTAAGAAACCTAGTTTGATTCAAAAGCTTAAAAAATGGGGTAGAAGCAAGGATGATTCTGCCATGTCATCTCCAAGTAGGTCGTATGGGGAAAGCTCTCCGGGTAGGTCAAGCCATGGGGGACACAAGCATTCTATGTCTAGGGGGCCCTTAGAAGCTCTTATGATAAGAAATGCTGGTGATGGAGTTTCAATCACTACATTTGGAAAGAAAGATGAAGTTCCTGATTCGCCCGAAATGGGTAGCCTTCCTCCTATCCGAACAAGAGTTTCATCAAGCGATTCATTAAACAGTGTTGCAGCTTCCTTTCATGTGATGTCTAAGTCGGTGGACGGGGTGATGGATGACAAATACCCTGCATATAAGGACCGCCATAAATTGGCTCTAGAGAGAGAGAAAGCCATCAAGGAGAAAGCAGAACAAGCAAGAGCTGAAAGATTTTCGGAACGCCCAAAGTTGGATATCAAGCCAAAGCTTGAGAAACCCATGAGTGCACAACCGTCAAAACTTCAAAGGTCAAAGAGTTCAGGAGGGGAAAAGAGTGATTTAAAAGCTAGTGATTCAAAGGAGCAAGAGCAAGGCAATGATGGTAAAGTTGATCCTCAAGTAGTGAGCAAGATTAAGCTTGCCCAAATTGAGAAGAGGGCACCAAGGGTCCCTAGACCACCCCCTAGATCATCAGGTGCCTCTTCTATTCCTACTGCGAATCCTTCTAGTGGTGTATCAGTGGCTCCACCTCCTCTTCCTCCTGGTGCACCTCCACCTCCACCCCCACCCCCACTTTCTGGCGCACCTCCTCGACCTCCGCCTCCTCCTGGTTCACTTCCAAAGGGTTCGGGTGGCGATAAGGTGCATAGAGCCCCTGAGCTTGTTGAATTCTACCAGTCCTTGATGAAGCGGGAAGCCAAAAAGGATGGTTCATCAGTGGCTTCTTCAACTTCTAATACGGCAGATGTTAGAAGCAACATGATTGGGGAAATCGAGAACCGATCTACTTTCCTCTTAGCTGTAAGCACTTTCAATAATTTTTGGCCTTTGATGAGTACCTTTCCTCTTAGCTGTAAATTTTTGTCTGCAAAGAAAATATAAAGAGGGAGGGAGAGAGGAATCGAGTGAGAAAAAGTCAGTGTGCAAATTGGTTTCCCTCTTTTTCCTTATTTCTCCTCCTTTTTTCCTTTTTCCTTTTCCATATGTTAGAACAAAAGTAATGTATAAAGGATTGGTTTTTATTTTGACACCGATGTTTGACTTTCTATGATCTTCTGACTCGGCATTTCATGACTTGATTTAGGTGAAAGCTGATGTGGAGACACAAGGTGATTTTGTACAATCCTTGGCAACTGAAGTCCGAGCTGCTACTTTCAATAATATTGAAGATGTGCTCTCCTTTGTGAACTGGCTGGATGAGGAACTGTCCTTTTTGGTGAGCTTTTGAACACCATTGGCATTTTATTCGTAAACATCCTTTCACAGATTTTTGGGTTGTTACTGTTAGTTCTTCTATTTTATTTAAAGACAAGCGGTAGCATATATTTTAAGACTATCATTTGTCAGAAGGATTGTTGATTCCTCTATCTATGGTTATTGGCAAGTCTAGAAAGTTCCTTCTTTTAGGAGCATTGTGCTGATGAAATCATATGGTAGTACCTAGTGCGATCTTTCAGCGTTTGACAAAGTTGTTGTACTGTCTTATTGAAAGATGGAAGTTTCTTTCAACAAGATGCTTTGGAGAAGGGGGTGACACTAGTTACTAGACCTTTGGGAGTTGGGTTCAAGCATTCAGTCTTGGATCTTTGGTTCAGATACGAGTTTCCCAATTTGGTCTGCAGAGCTTCTGAGACTCTTTGCTTCTTTTGGCTTTCGCTATTGTGGCTGTAGGGGTTTAAATATACCATTTAGTCCACTGTAAAGTACTCTTTTTCTCTCACTTGATTCAGTTGCGTAATGACTCATTATACTCGACCTTTTAACGAGACCATATCTGAATATGCATTGCACAAGTTAGCAGGGAGGAATCTATAATGAAGTGCTTTCTCTATTCCTAGGTTGATGAGCGTGCGGTTCTCAAACATTTTGATTGGCCTGAAGGCAAGGCAGATGCATTGAGGGAAGCTGCTTTTGAATACCAAGACTTGATGAAATTAGAGAGACAAGTCTCTTTATTTGTTGATGATTTGGGACTTCATTATGAAAAGGCCCTGAAGAAAATGTATTCTTTACTCGAGAAGTACGCATTTTTCCACTTAATGCATAAGTTTTTTCAATGGAAATTCCAGAAGACTGATACAATGGAACTAAATTAAGTTTTTTTTATTTTTTTCGTAGAAATTATCTTTTTCTGTTCAAACTCTGATTTCTTGCTCTCTGGGGCTTCTATTTGCTGTTTTCAGAGTGGAACAAAGTGTTTATGCTCTTCTGAGAACTCGGGATATGGCTACTTCACGATATAGAGAGTTTGGCATTCCAGTTGATTGGCTATCAGATTCGGGTGTGGTGGGAAAGGTATTATTACCCTCATTTAAAGTGAAGTAATTCACAAGTACTCTAGCATATTCAAGGCCAAACAGTCGAATATGTATTCCACCCTTCATGCTTTAAAACTTCAAATATTTCATGAACTTTATTAAACTTGTCCAAGAAAACTATCTCGTTGCATGCATTGAGTCCTCTGTTCTATAAAGATAACATAATCCTTCTGTAATGTGCCTTCAGTTACTTCAATATTTCGCATCAGAAAATGATCATGTATAAACTATTTTAATTACATCAGTCTAGGTCCTCAGTTTTCTTACAAAAATACCTTAGAAATCTACCATTTTTACCATTAAACACGATTATTAGGAATCAACAAAATACTATGTGTGGATGTGTGACGCACAAATGTGCATACAAAACCTCAGCTTTTTTTTAAATGCTTTGTATTTTTTGATATAGATATTTTTTTCTTAGTGATTTTTTTTTGTGTGCAGCACATTCTGCGCTAGTTTACTTTTTATGTAATGTATCACATGTTCCTCACTCTAATTGCCTCCTATTTGAGCCATGCAGATTAAACTTGCATCGGTACAACTTGCGAGGAAGTATATGAAGAGGGTAGCCTCTGAGCTTGATGCTTTGAGTGGGCCTGAGAAGGAGCCTACTAAAGAGTTTTTACTTCTCCAAGGTGTACGTTTCGCCTTCCGTGTTCACCAGGTGGGTAATTGTATAATGAAATTTAGAATTGTTCTCTCTTTTTCATTTTCTTTTGCTTGTAAAAGTCGCAGCAGTGGCATCTCTTTCTGAGATGCTTAAGATGGGATTAGGCAAGGATCACACCATAGATGTAATTTGTCCAAAACATAGCTTTTTAAGTAGGGATGGATAACCGCCATCGATTAGGCAAGGATCATACCACAGATGTAATTGTCCAAAACATTATGTTTTAAGTAGGCATGGATACCCACCATCTCTCTCTCTGTGGCACCCACATGGCTACTTGTATTTTTGCCTCTATACCCCAAAGGCCAAAGAAAAAGTCTCTCTGGCACCCACAAGTCTACTTGTATTTTGCCTCTATACCCCAAAAGCCAAAGAAACACATTCTCTGGCGCCCACAAGGCTGCTTGTATTTTGTCTCTTTACACATAAAGCCAAATAAACACATACATCATCTGTTAAACAACATTTTTCTCTCATGCAACCACAAGGCTACTAGTATTTTTGCCTCTATACTCAAAAGCCAAAGATACATATTATACCAATTTTCTTTCCCTTTCTTTATTCTTTTAAATAATCAGTCTTTGATTCTATATTTTCCTTTTCCAGTTTGCTGGTGGCTTTGATGCAGAGAGTATGCGGGCTTTTGAGGAGTTGCGAGGCCGTGTCAATGCACAAGCGGCAGAAGGCAACAAGCCCGAGTCATGACGTGCTTCTGCCCTATCATAAATTTTCTTTTTTCTTTTTCACTGTATATTTCCATATTAAATTATTTCCTTGCTTCCCTCTTTACTCTGAGGAAAAAAGATCGAATGTATTTTATTGATGATATTTGCAGGTGGACGAGTGGTTCTCACTTCAAAATGTTTCTCTCATAAAATCGATCGTTCAGCGCCATTTCTTGGGTCTTGCCGATTTTCTTCAATGTCCATACGTGGTGGATGCATGTTGAATTGGGCAGTGTTGTCTAATTGGAGTGCCTAGCACATTTTGAAGTTGGCGGGATAGAATTTTGTACTTTAAACTCTTCCCTTATGAAATATTTTGAGAAGTAGAAAGAGAGTGCTAAAATTCCTGAATTGGAGCATAAATGCTTCTTTGTAACTCATTACATATTAGGTTGGACCCCTAGAGGAAGTTTTGTTATTAATCCATCTTGAACTCGTGGCATATGGTCTTTTTTCTAAAATTAAGAATGTATGCCATGTTTATGAGCAACTTGCATCAAACATGTTACCCATAAATCTTCATCTAGCTGCATTTAGGGGGGGCTCAAAAGTAAAATCACTAAAATTCCAAACTTTGATCCTAGATTGGAGCACCCAAACATATGCAATCCCATTCTCCCAATTTTTTTGGGGTAGAGACTATTTTGAATCCAAGACCTCTGCATTAACAAACATTTTCATGAGAAGATTTTGTATCTCTATGAGCATTCATAAGTCTGAATTTGGGTCTCTTATGGGTTGATCTCTTTCTAATGGTGTAAAAACTTGATTTCAAGTAAAGGTATATCTTTGAAACCAGTTGTTTTGACTTGTTTTGGGTAAGAGATTTTATCAAAAAGAAATGCACAAGCTTTGCTCAGCCAGCTTCATGCTATAATCTACTACTGCAAATGGATAGTCAAAACACATGAGGAGGATACCTTGTATACAATGTTGTATAGTGTGCATATGACAATGACAATGTGACTAGTGTGAAAATAGAGCAATACTTCTAAAAGATAATAAATCAAGAGTGAAGAAATTTTCAAAATAAAAAAGTAAAGAGTTGAGAATTTTTTTGTCTTTTTTAAATTTAATAGTATTTCATTGAGAGAATGTAGAAGATAGATGAGGGAAATACAAGTGAGGAACGAGGACATCAATAATGAAAAGAAGGTGAAAGAAACCCACAGAAGTGAAAGAAGCAAAAATAACAAGGTGGTAGAGAAACGACAGGAGGAAAAAATAATAATTAAGGAGCATGACAAAAGTTCGGTAGCCATTAGCAAAGTTATCAGCCAAGGAGTTGTTACATTCCCTATTTACATGTTGGAAGACCACATCCTTGACCAAAAGTGAATAGATCTCAGCCATGATGTATCTCCACTTCCAAACTGTGGATTGACAAACTGTGGATTGAGGCTCTTTGCCAACCTAATCACATTAGTAGAATCTCCCCCAATAATCACCTAATTTTGATGTGGTTTTAACTTGAGAATTCCGAATTTTAACTCCGTTAGTTTTGCTTCATTAGTGCCAAATGAATCCAAGCACCCTTGGTATGTCCATAGGATATGGCCCATGTCATTTCTCAACAGTATCCTACAATCGGAATAACATTCCAAACACTTCCATCAAAATTGAGTTTCACCTAGCTTGCTGGTGGAGGAGCCCATTGATCTGGCCTCCTAACCTTCCGCTTTTTGGAAAATAGGTCTCTAAGATTAGTGTCAACATTTTCACAAGGGATGCCTTTGAGTTCGATTGTCGCATTTGCCCAATGAACAACCCACCTCTATATTGCAGATTTGATTTGTGATAAGTCCTTGACCTCATCCTCTAAGATTCTAGCATTTCTTTCTTCATTGAGGACCATAGAAGAGATGCAATTTAGTCCTCTCCACCGATTGATTGCCTGAAGCTAAATTTTAATGGTAACTCTCTTGGGAATCCCCTTCAAGCTGGATTTGGTGGACACATAAAAGATAACAAGGGCTCTCCAATTATTTCCTATTCATGGCCATGTGGGGTTGCTACTGTTAACGAGGTAGAAACTAAGGGGTTGTTAAAGAGGGTTTAAGGCTAATTTCTAATTTAAAATGTTAAATACCTTGAGGGAGATTCTTCTAATGTCATTGCTTGGTGTAAGGAGTACACTAAACCACCTAGGAGATTGATTTCTATGTTTGAGAGATCGGAGTTTTGTTGTCTTATAACGCTATGGATCTTTACCACTGTTTTAAACAGGCTAATCAGGGGGCAGATTCTCCTGAAAAAGGCGGTGTACACCAATCATCGTGGGTTGTCACCACCTTCACTTAATTGTATTTCTTTTTCTACTCTCTTGGACCTTTTCTCTTTTAATGGAAAGTTGTTGATCAATGCTAAAAAAAAAAGATTCTAGCATTCCTTTCTTTCCAAATGTGCCACAGCAGCAACTATAATCTTCCATAATACACAACCACACTTCGTGAAAGGCACGAAATAAGTTTGCTGAAGCATTTTTGTTACTGATTCTAGTAGCAACAATTCCATTGAGCATACTCGAGTGCTCATCCCCAAATACTACTAGTGTAGGAGCAGTGGATAAATAAGTGGTCGTTAGTTCTGGCATCGTTTCCGAACAAGGGGACACCTATTAATAATTATCATGCCCCTATTCCTTAACTGCTCCATTGACAAGGTTCTGCCCTTACCAGCCAACCACAAGAAACCCTTCACTCTGTGAGGGATTTTGAGAGCCCAAACTCCAGTAACCCCACGGGTAGGCTGAACATTACAGTCAACACTAATTACCTCTTATAAGGACTTAGTTGAAAATTCCTCCAGCAGTGAGTTCCCGTAAGCGATTATCCTCCTTATTCAGGTAATAAAAGAAGCTATAGAACAATATCAAATAAAGCCAAATACTGTTGCTCCATCAATGCATTCACCCTTCTATACTTTGGCTTAATTAAAATCCGGTGCTATCTTCCAAGCTTCTCCTCTAACCACCTCTTTAAGTGAGATTGCTTTTGAAGGGCTAGCAGATATAAATCCAGGAACTAAAGCATTAGAAGTGTTAGGCCAATCCGTTTCATGACCAAAACATAGTCTTTGCACCATTTCCTATCCTCATTCTGCTGTATGAAAGAAATAAGTATCTTACAGTCAATGATTGCAAAAGGTTAATGTTAAAGCACACTGTGATGTTAATGATGGCTAAGTGGATTAAATTCACCTTTCATTCTACAGTTATGAAAAATGTATGGTTATCTATCTTCTCAATCTTCATTTAGTGCCTTTAGATGGAGCGCAATTTAAGCATGCATGAGGGGAAGAAGACACTCCTCTTCAGCAGATTATCTGTATGGCCAGTTCTCTTGCAAAGGCAAAAGAATGAGCTTTTCATCAATAAAAAAACAATGTGTTCAACAATCTTAGGCTACAAGGGCAAATGAAGCCCAACCCAGCCCTCCCTTTGCTTTATTCAGCTGGCATTGCCATTCCCTCCTCCAGTCATTTCAAGCTCAACATATATGGTTCATCCTTGTGAAATCCTGGTGCGGCTAGTGGTGGAGGAATTTCAGAAATGAGACAAAGTGGTTTTATAATAAGCCTTTGCAGCCCCCTAGGTAACAACTCCAATAATGCTGCTAAAATCCAGGCATAGGATTTGGGCATATTCATTGCATACCCCTAATCATTAAGAGTGACTCAAACTTTTTGTTAAACCCTTGAGTCAGCTCTGTAAGCCTACGCAGGTCATTAGAGGAAAATCCTTCATGTTTTTAGGGAATCTAACATGGCAGCCAATCACCTGGCTAAGAGGCGGTTTTCATGAATGAAGCAATGGTATGGCATGCTCGCGCCCCAGATTTTCTTTATCCTTTTCTTTTACCTGATGTTGCTAGTGTTCCCTTGCCTAGAGTTGTAAAATGATTGTACATGTAATTTTTTTTTATTAATAAAAGAGGTAGGGGCCCGTCATCCCCACTGATTCACCAAAAAATAAAAAAGTATCTTATAGTTTCAGCCAACGTTGAGGTTCCATTACTAATTCTTTTTGTCTAACAGACCTCTCTCCTCCTTTCCATATTTGCTATAGAGCACCAATTTCCACGGTTGCTCAGTCCTACTTCCCAACCTCCAACCGATCTGCCAGCAAAGCTCGGTTAATTGAATGAAGCCTTCAAGACCCAGTCTTCCTTCTTAGGCAAACAAACCAAACACCACTTAACCGAGTAGAATTCCTTCCTCTCTGCACTCACACTCCATAAGAAATTTCACATGAGTGACTCTAGTTTCTTCGAGGGGACTTTGAAAAGGCGAAAAGCAATATGTTGGGAGGTTGGCCAAAGTGGCCTTGATTAGAGTTGTCCTTCTTCCTAAAGAAAGATATCGGCACCTCGACCCGTCTAATTTCCTATGAAATATCTCCACTACCGGATCCCACCCTGTTCAAGTTCCTACTATTAGTTAGGGGAACACTTGAATATTTAAGTGGCAGCTGTTCACAATCACATCCCACTCAAAAAATCCATTCCAAAACCTCTTCCTAGAGCCGTTGATGGCCATGATTGTGGTCTTGACCATGTTAATCTTTGCTCTTGCAATGAGCTGGTAGCATGTGAAAACAGCTAGAGGTGCTGCACTTTGCCTAAAAAGCCTTAAAGAAGAGTTGTAGACCCCCCATTTTGGTTAATCATTCTTAAATTTCTGAACCCTAGGGACCGCAATAGCCTAATCGACCCTAGTCACCGTTTTTAGGCATAAAACTCAAACTTTAGACCTATTCAATCCCTAAAACAATTATACTAGATAGCCCTAAGCCTAATAGACATAGGAAATTGATCCAATATCCAAAAACCTCAAACTGATATTGATCCAGTTATTGATCCAATATCCAAAACCTCAAATTGATACCTAAAGGTCTTAGCCCTTTACCAATTTAATTTCACACAAATCAAGTCAAATTTAATTCTAAATTGATGAGGAGATCAAGAACTTTCTTTAACGGTTAAAATCCCACCTGAATCCAAGTTATGGTTTCAAAGTTACGGTTCGAATAAAGTTGTTAACCCAAAATTCTAGAATGATCCCTACAAAAATTCCAAACCATCCCATAATTTTTTGTAAGCGTCTAGAAGTTGTTGTCCACAGTTTTTGGCTTTCTGATAAGTATGTTTTTTGTCCAAATTTAACTAAGATAATTAGAAATATATTTAGGATAAATAAAACTAAATTTTAGAATTTTTCAAAATTATCATTGACATGCTCCTATTTAAACCCCCTCAGAAAATACCAAATCATCTTAAAAAAATACCTGGAAAGAATCCAAAATTTCCCAAAAAATTAGGAAAAAATAAAAACCCAAAAATAAAAAACAACTGTAAAATCTTAAAAAAATATCCAAAGATCCCTAGGCTAGCCAAAACCTTTGAAAATCTTAACCTAAACTCTAGATCTAGAAAACCCTTACCC